GACTCTAATAAAACTATTCTCAAAATCTCTATATATTTTAATCTTTCTACTTACTTCCTTTGAAACAATCATATTATAGCTTTCAAAACATGCTCTTTTATCAAAAACATTATCACTATTGAAGAACTTATATTCTGGTTCTCTCTCAAATTCTTCAACAATTATACTTCCAATATAAACTGAAATCTAGCTTTTAAAATACTTAATTCTTTAGAATATAACTCTTTTAAATACTCCTTTTATATTAAAATTCTAACAAATAATCTTTTAACAATACAAAATCTTAACATTTGTTATCTAAATTTATATATAACAAACAAGTGCTACAAATACTCTTTAACTAAAAATACTTTTTATATACTTCTATGTCCTAAAAATATAGAAAATATTCAATAATCGCTTGTTAATATAACTAATAATATACTTTATTAACTCCAACTTTATATCACATCTACTACTCTTCTTATCTCTTTTTTACTATTTTTACCAAATTCTTCTATTATACAATCTAACTTCCTTTTTTTTACTATTTTTGAAATATATTTCAATCTAATATACTATAATATCAAACCTTTATTTAATAATCAATCTAATTTATTTTTTACTAATATTCTCTAACAATCTTCTAAACTGGTTTTACCAGAAAATATAGTTTCAATAAAACTCTTTACAACAATAATAGGGACTAGCTCAAAATATTATGCAAAAAGCTAAACATACCAAAATAACCTTATCATTAACTTACAACCAAGTAAATATAAATATATCTTACTCTCATCCAATTAACATATACAATGCTATTGAAAAATAGTATTTACAAGAATTCTCTCTACTAATATACTTTATATAATATTATGAGTATTACTAAGGGGTTTTTTCCAACCTATTCTAGCTAGAATTATTTTATTTTTTTAAACTAATAATAGTATTTAAATAGAAAATAGAAGGTATAATGTCACATTAGATACTTTATAGCACAAATATAATTAAAAATTTTTAATTATAAGAATATTCTCTAAAGCCAAACCTTCTCTAACTTAGCTATTGCTAAGTTAGAGGAATTTGTCAGCCTGATCAAATGATTTATCTAACTTCTTACCCAATTTAGTTTAAAATGAAAAGACTATTAATTTTTTAATTAATTTAAGTTTATTGTAATAAAGTTTCTACTATAACATTATATTAATAAAATAAAAATAAAAAAAAAACTTTAAATTTTAAAAATTTGAAAATTTGAAAAATTCAAAATTTAAATATTCAAATTTTTGAATTTTTGAATTTTAAATTTTTGAAATTTTAAATTTTTAAAATTTAAATTTTAAAAATTCAAAAATTCAAAAATTTAAAAATTTAAAAATTTAAAAATTTAAAAATTTAAAAATTAAAAAATTTGAAAATTTGAAAAATTAAAAATTTGAACAATTAAAAAGTTTTAAATTTCTAAATATAGTAGTTTAATTGCTAAATATATATAATAGTCATATAACACTTAAATTTGGCTTTCCCGTAAGCATGTATTAGGTAATACAAAATTTAAAGTCATGTGATCTGTATTATCTATACTTTATATTTGGTAATTAAATTACTATATTTAGAACTTTAAATTTTTTTTAATTTTCAAATTTTCAAAATTTTCAATTTTCAAATTTTCAAATTTTTCAATTTTTGAATTTTCAAATATTTTAATTTTTCAATTTTTTAATTTTTAAAAAATTTGCACTTTTGGCCCAAATAGAATACCATATATTCTAGTAAATCAAATTCAATTCTATAACTTGCAAATGATATTTGGATAGAGTAATTTTAAAACTATATTGAGATATTTTTTAATTTATTTTATTAATATAGTTAAAATTTCAAATATTTTTTTAATTACAAATTTAAATAGTAAACTATTTACAATTTATAAGTTTAAACTATAAGGGTCTGAAATATTTATAATTCTTAAATGTCTCAATATAGTTTTAAAACTACACTATTCAAAAATCATTTGCAAGTTACAACAGGAGGAAACGTTGTTACATTACAAAATCAGTACAAAATTGATGAATTTTTTTTTATATTATTTTACAATACTTTTTTTGGAAGGCTTAATTGACTTATCTTTTTTATGAATATTGAAAATTATTAAACAAACATGAAGCTCTTACTTTGTTTTACAACATATTTTTTGAATCCCCTTGAATCTTATAGTTTGGTCATTTTGTAAATTTTGCAATTTGATTGGTTGACTAATCTTGTAGTGATATTTTGACTAGTCGATACAGTGAGTGGTTTGTGTAATGTAGAATAAAAATTATATCTTTATTTGGACATTTCCTCCTGTTGCAAGTTACAGAATTGGGGTCCTTTATAGTTTAAACTTATAAATTGCAAATAGTTTACTATTTAAATTTGTAATTAAAAAAAATATTTGAAATTTTAACTATATTAATAAAATAAATTAAAAAATATCTCAATATAGTTTTAAAATTACACCATCCGAATATCATTTGCAAGTTACAGAATTGAATTTGCTTTATTAGAGTGAGTTAGAACAGTTTGAAGATATGTGATTTTAATAATAAATTACTATAACGAATCTTTTCAATAAATGATCGACAAAAATTAAAAAATCTTAATTAGTGTAACTACTGTAGGCACTTGGGTTGTTAAAGGGAGTTAGAATAGAGTAGTATAAATCTCAAATTTTTATCAATTTCATATTATAATTTATATCAGGACAGGTAAAAATTTGTATTAATAATGAGAAATTGTTTGGTGTTTATTTTGTTATTTTGTAATTTGTAAAATTTTTATACACTTTAGGTTTTGCATAAAATTTTTATTTCAATCTTTTAAATTGCAATTAAGTAGCTAACTTATTGCTTTATTTTTTGATTAATTTATTTTACCTTTATTTAACTATTCTATATTGCTTCTTATTACAATGCATTCCATATTATACTATTTGTTTATCATTTTATCTACCATTAGCATGATATGGACGATCATATGTGATTGAGTTTGCATCAGAATTATAGTGATTCCTAATAAATATATTGATAAGTTTAAGTTAGTTTGCATTGATTTCTATCATGAGCGACTGAAAAATTCGATTATAGAACTTTCTTACTATTTTGATAACAATAAGTTTTTAAAGTAATTTAGTTTATATTGGAGTTATCATAATTTCTATTATGAGTATTGTTATAGAACTACTATTTCAGTGATTTCTATTGTTAGTTTAGATTATAAAAAAATGTGAATATGGATTGACAGCTAGAATTTCGATATTTTGATAGTAGAAGATATCATAATGTAGAAGATATCATATATCCTCTACCAAATGATGAAGAAGAATCTGATAGATTACAATTACGGGAAGATTAAATAACACTGAACTCAGTGAGTATCACAGTATTATATGACAACACTCGGCCTAGGTTAGGGTTAGTTTAGAGTTAGGATAGGGGTTAGTTTAGGCCAGTTTGTTTAGTTCTAGTAAACAAATGACGTCATGATATGTTTATCATGTGATCATCGATTACTGAGTTCAGTGTTCTTAAAGTGCCCTACATTTACAATACTTTTCTGCTCCCATTGAACATGTTTTATCTAAACTGAGATCCAAATTTTAGATATTGGGTACGTAAATATTATCATGGTATATAGTAGTATAATTATTGTAAAAAAATCGATATATAAATTTAGTTTCAAGAATAACAAGTCTTACATTTTTTTAATGGTTATGAATTTTTATTAAAAAAAAAACACTAAATTTTCATTTTAATTTGAGAAGTACCATTAGGAATTAGCAAAATATTTATTGTGGTTCGCATAATAAATTATGAATTTGATTTTAATTTCTTAATAATTTTTGTGTTAAAAAATCTAATTTGAAAAAACCTATATTAATACTTTGACGTATTGACATAATATAATTGGTCTCCAAAAAATAATCTTAATTATATACATAAATATTTAAAAAATTATTTACCACTATTATCACCGTAATAAAAAATTAGCGCTAAAATTACATTATTGTATGTTTCATTTTAGATGTGGTACAGCATCATTGTCATTTGATATGACAACCACCACAGGTCCAAAGCATAAATATCAGATACCCGATAGCCAATGATTGCTAACTATTTGCGCCAAAAATCTGATCAATATTGGCAATATGTCAAAAGATATTAGAAGCATATCAGGTAAAAGAATAAATATCATGATACCTAATATTTACAGTATTTTTTACCTAATATGCTTCTGATATTTTTTGACATATTGCCAATATTGATCAGATTTTTTGCGCAAATAGTTAGCAATTATCGGGTATCGGGTTTTATACTTTGGACCTGTGCATGTGAATATAGTCTTTTATATAAATCTGAAGTATAATATTCTCAACAATGCCTCGGACTTTACACAGCTCTTGCTACACTTTTAAAGTTTTATTAGATATCCATTGACTAAGGTTTTTGAATTAGATATCTCACCATACCAATTGACACAGATAAAACCTAAAAACTTTATTTTCGTTAAAGCAAATGCTCTAGAAAGATTACAATTCAATGATAACATTTTTGATTTTGTATTTTAATTATATTTGTTTACTGGACATCCACAAAAGAAATGTTCAGATGTAATAAATAGATTGGTCAGAGTTTTAAAACTAGGTGGATTCTTAGAGCTATTCTTATTTATCATTATTATGATAATATTCCAAATATGATCAAATTAATGTTAACCGGGGATAAAATTCACAAGACATTCGATTTCGCAAAATGTTAAAGCTTAATTTCAGCTTTAAAAGATTATAATAATTAATAATCAATACTATACAATATTGGTGAATCTCACTTTTAGTGAACTCTAAATACAGTAAATTCTTTTAAGTAATTATTGGTTTGATTAATTCTTTTTCAATTAGTTATGCAAATTTTCTAAAGCCACTGATATCAGACTTGTTAATAGTCATTTATGTAATGCAAGTGTGTATTAAATTATCTTATATTATGTTCAATCCAATTCATAAAGCTGCAAAAATGTTGAAACAACGAGGTGTAGACTGGGATTCATATCAAAAGATAGAAGGGTATGTACAGAACCAGGTTTTTTTTTACCCTTCATCTTATTATATATTATAATTTATTAAAAATTAATATAATTGTTCTCTAAATTAGGTTAGTTAGAAAATATTCAAAATGAAGTAAAACAAATCTATCATAGTGAAAAGTCAAATAATATTGAACTTAGCAAAGTGGTAATGTGTTATAAAAATTTGCTTTGTTTTTTGAAATTGTTCTTAAAAAAGTTTTAACACAAAAATAAATAAATAGGCTATTAATGTTATGACTACTTTGTATGAATCTTTTAAACCATATTTAGCAAAAGCCCTAGAAGTTTCTGATGTTGAATATGTTGAGTTGGTTAAAATGCCAAAAGTTGAACTATTTGAGTTTGATTCTTATTATTATATAGTTCGTGTTTATATAAGAAAATTCAATAACAACAATAATAATTAATAAGATAATTTAAAGTATGTATTTTTTTTATTGATATTTTATTAATAATTTTTAAGTTATAAAAAAGTAAAGTTTGACTTATTCTTTATATTTATTTTATCTTTTTGTTTTAATATAAAATTTATTTTAGAAAAATATACAATATTTAAAGATTATACAAACCTAAAAGCTAACATTAGTTTTTAATTTAATAATTTATAGCATCCTATTTATCATAACTTAATAGTCATAATTTTTAAAATTATTATATTTTTTAAAAATGTATGATTCTTAAATTTTTAGAAATTAATATGTATAATGGCTTAAATATTAAATTCTATTAATAGAGTCAATTATTTCAAAAATATTCTTCTATTGACTCTAAGAAATAAATTTAAATGAATTAAATAATTTAAGTTTTAAAGAATTTTTAAATCACACTAGCATGCCTTAAATTTTTTTTTATGCTATCTCAAGTTGTTATGATTGATAAATTATATAATATTATCTATTGTTTTTAATCATGTAATACTGTATTATTTATCAAACCAAGTGGCAAGATAGATATATTTGTTTGATCATTACTTGATGCCATGTTTAAATCGGCAAATGATATCTGCTCATATTGCGACAAGTTTCTCTACGGTTACTTAATGTAAATTCATTATTTGGTTCAATTTCTAATGATCTATTTAAATCTTTAAGTGATTCTTCATATTTATTCATCATGCGATAAGTAACTCCACGAATACTTAATATAAATGCATCATTTGGTTCAATTTCCAATGATTTATTTGAATCTACAAGTGATTCTTCATATCTATTCATTATATAATAAGTTTTTCCACGAACACATAATACAAATGCATTATGTGGCTCAATTTCTAATAAGCGATTTAAATCTGTAAGTGATTCTTTATATCTGCTCATCATGAGATAAGTACTTCTACGATCAACCAATGCAAATACATTATATAGTTCAATTTCTAATAATTTATTTAAATCTGCAAGTGATTCTTCATAACTATTCATCCTATAATAAGTACATCTATAACTTCTTAATGCTTTTGCATTATTTGGTTCAATTTCTAATGATTTATTTAAATCTGCATGTGATTCATTATATTTGCTCATCATGCAATAAGTTTCTCCATGAATCCTAATGCAAATGTATTATTTGGTTTTATTTTTAATAATATGTTTAGTATGGTAAGTAACAACTTATACATCTTTATTGAAAAATAAATTTCTTCACGATTTCACATATTTCTGGTTTAATTTCCAACAAGTCATTTAAATTTACATTTATGAGATATACTCTTCAAATGTTATGATCCGTAAAATAAGTTCTGCTTCAAATGTAGTTTATTGTCCTTGATTAGACAATAATAAAACAAAAAAGGTATAAAAAAATTTGCATATAAAATTTAATATCTCTTTGCAACGTAAATGGGGTTAAGCCACCATTGATTCAAATAGTTTATATGAAGCTTTAAACCTAGTCTATATAAAACCTTCAGTTTATGGAATTTTTAACAATATGCTAAATGGTAATAGATTATTCACATAGAATTTATAACTTAATTTTGTTAGTTACTGAAGTTGAGTTAGAAATTTTCAATTAAATTGAACTCAGGACGAATTAATTCTATAAATCTTTAAAAAGACACTTGATGTTATACAACTTTGTTTGCATTGTACAGGTCCCTCTTTGTCACTCAAAGAGGCAAGTCACAGAGAAGTAAGTTCGAAAAATATTGTATTTACAGTTAATAAATCTTATTATAAAAGCAAAATAATAAGGAAAAATTCAAATTGAGGCTTAGTATCTAAAACTAAATTTATTCAATTTGTTAATGCTAGTTCTTTTGATAAACTTGATTAAAGCTTTTTTATTCAATTTAACATATATATTCATAATTATACTGATTAAAATTTATATATATTAACTTATCAAAATACTTTTTTCTATTTTAACAACTAATACATACTAATTATAAAAAAAAAGTGTGTATATTTTTTTAAAATTCTGATTTAGCCTTTTTGATTATATTAGATTAAGAGGTTTTTGTATATAATATATACAGTGGCAATCATAAGTAATAGAGCAAAAAAAAAAATTTTACTTAGATCGCGTTATTTCGAGCAATTCGCAACGTATCCTTTTATTTTTTTTTTTTAATTTATTAGTGAATACTATAGATTTCATGTATTAAAAATTCAAAAAAAATAAATAATCATAATTTTTCGCTAACATAAACTTTATTTAATTTGACGTGCTGCATTACTTTTGATCATATATAATGCAGCACGATCTTAAAACAAAAAAAAATTTTTTTACATTTAAAAAAAAAAATTTTTTTTCTATTCTAGTTCTTTTGGCCTCTACCACCTGGTGTATCCACCACGTGCCTTGATAACATCCCAAATCTGTTCGGGCATGGATCGAATAAGGTTGGTGCACGTTTCACTATCAATTTGTTCTCAAACAACCTGGATCTTGTTTCACAGGTCTTCCTTACTCGAAATTTGTTCGGGAAGGTTCCTAAGTCGACGGTCAACCTCAATCCACAAATGTTCAATGGGGTTGAGATCAGGAAACTGGGGGGCCAATCCAACAACATAATACGGTTATTTCTTAACCAACATTTCGCAACTTTGCCGTATACTTGGGGTCATTGTCTTGCTAGAAAATCACATTATGAATATTAAACCCGTGGTCTCTAATGGTACCCAAAAAATCCGCACGAAGTATTTGACGATATAGCTCGCCATCTATGTGGCCTTTGATCTGACAAAAACTACCAACACCATGAGACAAGAAACAGCCTCAAATCTTAACGGAGCCACCCCCATACTTCACTGTAGGCTTAATGGGGAAGTCACTTAAAGGTTCACCAGGACGCTTCCAATAATATTGCTTGCTATCCGACCCAAAAATCTTGAACTTCGATTCATCAGACCAAATTACCTTGGCCCAGTCTTCATAGGTCCAACTTTCATGTTTTACTGCAAATTCTAACTGACGTTTTTTATAAATACTGCTTAGGTAGGGCTTTTTTCTCTTGATTCCCAACACCAAACCGTGGGCCCTGAGTATATGATGGATAGTGGGCGCGGAAATGTCAATATTTTCTTGTTCTTTAAGCCAGAAGAAAACTTCAATGGCACTTGAACAATGACAAGAGGTGATTAGGTTCACGATTCTTCTTTAGGTTGGTTCGCCCAGAGCAACTGGGCGACCAACTCTTTTCAAGTCCTCGAGTACGCGGTGTTTTTCCCACTTATTTTTGATGTGACATACGGTAGAGGAACTAACATTAAAGGTGACACCTACCACCCTTGTAGAGTATCCTTTTTGCAGCGAAAGTAAAATATTAGCCCTTTGGGCTGGAGTCGTTCGTTCTTTTTTTTGAGGAGTTTGATTATAGATTAGATTCAACATTGTACAATGATACAAAAACAACAATGTATTTTACTTTTATATTGTTGTTTGTGTTGTACAAATACCTCATCTGATCTTAGTTGGGAACGATCAAAAGTAATGCATCACGTGTTTTGTGCTATATGCGTGATTATTTTTGAATCGACAACAACAAAATTCATTAAAAATTTAATATCAAAAAAAAATAACTATTCACGAATAAATTAAAAAAAAAAATAAAAGGATACGTTGCGAATTGCTCGAAATAATGCGATCTAAGCAAAATTTTTTTTCTCTATTACTTATAATTGCCACTGTATACAGTACAGAGAGTTTACTAATTTCTCCCCACAATTCACTATCAAAGTACCATAAAAATTTATTAATATCATAGATATTCTGATATGTGGAACCAATCAGAAGTGCGGGAAAAATTAATAAACTCCAGTATAGGTATGATTGTAGGATTTATTGTAATATAAATTAGAAATAATATGTCTGGAGTTCTAAACAAAAATGCTTAGAACCCTACAAAAACTAAAATTGGGACCTTATATCTAATCTACATTATTTTATATATATATAACCCCTTCTTTATCCCAAAACTGCATTCTAATACTAAATTTTAATAAAAAATTATATATGAGTTCAACAACATAGGTGTATTTTTTTTTTTTTTGGTGTTAAGGTAAGGCCTTGCTTGTATCTTTATTGGGTAATTTATACAAGTAATTACATAATATATATAACAACTTCATTTGTATAATAACAAAAATATATAAACTACATGCAAGAATGAGAGCTCAGACTAAAAACTCAGCAAAGCACAAGTTAGTTATCTGTGACCTAAACCCACTAGAGTGGTCAAGACTCATCTAGATTTTAATAGTAAGTATATAGTTTGTGTGTATACTGTATTGGATTCATACTGTGGACTATTGCTTAAATTTTACTGTGCCTGTTCTTTAGAAGAGCAGGTGCTATTGTTCTCATGTAGTTGGTCTGCTGTATCACAGAGATAGCTGTAGGTGTATTTCTTCTGTTGGTGATTGGTATAGTTATAAGCTTATGTTGTTGTAGCTTTGTTAATAGGTGCTATATTATATTATTTCTTTCATTTTGCAAATCTGTTACAGTATGGTTTCTAAATTTGTTCATAGATTTCTGCTAATGTAAGGAGTAATGTTTGTATAATAATATTGGCTAATTCTTTGTATTGTAGATCAAGTAACTGGAGTAATTGTAGCAGTTGAGATAAAATAAGGCTTTTTAGGGTAGTTGGTAGCTGATATGTATAAGGAGAAAAGGTAGATAAGTAGTTAAATGAGAGGTGGAATTTGATGAGATTTGCTATTGCTCTGCATTGAGTTGGGTTTGAGTCACAAAGATATTTGTTGACTATCTGATTGGTAGAAGTATCTATGATCTGCTTTGGTATTGATAAGCTATAGCAGCTAATCCAGTAGTTAGATGAATCAGGTTGCTACAAGAGAAACATGTATTGGCCTGGTAGGTTTTTGGGTTGATTAAATAAAAGTAGGAGTGTGTAGGTAGTTTATTGAGCAAGAATTTAATTCTAAATACCTTCAACTGGTTTAGTTTAGGAGATGTAGTACTGGATGTTGTTGTTAGGTTATTGTTAAGATAAAGCTATGTGAAGCTCCAGTCAATTGTTTATATATAATTTTCCTATTTTGTATTATGATTTTGGGATAACTATAGTGCTGTTGTAAATGCTTTGCATATAGTTTTGACAAATAATCTAGTTGGTTTTTTTACATTGTATTTTTTTTACTGAATAGTGAAGTAGAGATTGTGTATATTCGTATAGTTAGATATAGATGGTTGTTGGTACATTTTGGCCAGTGTGTTTGTTATATTGTTGAATTGATCATTTGAATGAGCCTGCACTTTGTGTAGTATAAGCTAGATATTAAAGACCTTGGTAGCATTAAGCAGTGTATGCCAGATTGGCTATTAGTTGAATTTGAAATACTTGAAGAATTTGGAAAAAGTATTTAGGAGTTTGTAATACTTGGATATGATAGATTAGAAATTTGTAAATATGTCAACTTTGGTATTGCAGAGCAGTATGGCTATGGCTGATAGGATTGCAAGTAGCTAGCTTTGTATGATGAAGGCCAGTTGAAAATTTTAACAAAGAA